ACTAACTTGAAATAAGCTCTCGACTCCTTTTTGTCTGTTTTTGGTTCGTTGGCTAAACTCCACATAATGACAGACGGATGTGATTTATCTCGCTCAATCAACTCTTCCAACATCTTCATATGAAGAAGATTGTTCGCCTTCGAAAAGCCCCTGCGATTGAGAAACTGTGATATTTTTTCAAAGGATCAAAAATCTTTATTCACAAAAAATTCTTACTTCAATCCAACTCCAGCAGTTTCCGATATGACAGCGATACCACGTCTGTCATTTTCTTCCATTCGCTCTTCAGCGTATGGATAATGTGAAGTTCGATAGCAATTACCATTCATCCATTCTAGTAAATTCAAATCTTTAGTCATTACGACTTGGTTATAACCTCGCCCGTGTATCTATAACAAAACAAATGGATACTTTCCAAAAAATTGCAGATTACTCTCGAAAAACCTCAAAATCTTCGTGCATTCCGAAGCCAATACAGTAGAATGGTTTGTCATTGATGAGAATCTGTCTTTTCGTCCAACCAACCGTACGAAATCCGAATTTCTGACGATAAACATCCAAACTACGTTGCTCCAGTGGCACAGTCAACTCCACCTGTAAGATGAGTGTTCGAAAAGATATTCAAACACTTCAAACCTCAATTTAGTAAATTTTTGTGGAGCAAGACTCGTATCAATTCAAAATTTACTGTATATCTTTTCAATTTCCAACATTATGAGCAGGTTCCCTATAAATTAATAGCAATAAATAGAAGCACCAAACCTTGTTCATTTTTAGAAGTTTGGAAAATGTTGAAAAATTGCAAAATTCCGGTAGCTGAATACAGCTGTGAAGTTCAAATCAGAATTTGTAGTATTGTTTCATAAATATTGTATTTAATCTGATTTTTGGAAGCTTGAAAATTAGAAAAAAACAGCATTTCTGTGAATGAGTAAGTACTGGATGCTTTACTCTTGTAAAATCTAGCAACAAAACGGATTGCAAAGAATAAGCCCGATGCGGGGCTCGAACCCGCGACAGCCAGATTA